ATCAACCACGCCACATTTGCTATATCCTGTGTTGGTGAAAGTAAAGAGGAGTGTATAATAATATATCAACCACGCCACATTTGCTATATCCTGTGTTGGTGAAAGTAAAGCAGAGTGTATAATAATATATTAACCACGCCATATTTGCTATATCTTGTGTTGGTGAAAGTAAAGAAAAGTGTGTAATAATATATTAACCACGCCATATTTGCTATATCTTGTGTTGGTGAAAGTAAAGAGGAGTGTATAATAATATATTAACCACGCCATATTTGCTATATCTTGTGTTGGTGAAAGTAAAGAGGAGTGTATAATAATATATTAACCACGCCATATTTGCTATATCTTGTGTTGGTGAAAGTAAAGCAGAGTGTATAATAATATATTAACCACGCCATATTTGCTATATCTTGTGTTGGTGAAAGTAAAGAAGAGTGTATAATAATATATTAACCACGCCATATTTGCTATATCCTATGTTGGTGAAAGTAAAGAAGAGTGTGTAATAATATATTAACCACGCCATATTTGCTAGATCTGTATTGGTGAAAGTAAAGAAGAGTGTGTAATAATATATTAACCACGCCATATTTGCTATATCCTATGTTGGTGAAAGTAAAGAAGAGTGTGTAATAATATATTAACCACGTCATATTTGCTATATCTTATGTTGGTGAAAGTAAAGAAGAGTGTGTAATAATATATCAACCACGCCATATTTGCTATGTCTTGTGTTGGTGAAAGTAAAGAAGAGTGTGTAATAATATATTAACCACGTCATATTTGCTATATCTTGTATTGGTGAAAGTAAAGAAGAGTGTGTAATAATATATCAACTACGTCATATTTGCTATATCATGTTTTGGTGAAAGTAAAGAAGAGTGTGTAATAATATATCAACCACGCCATATTTGCTATATCATGTTTTGGTGAAAGTAAAGAAGAGTGTGTAATAATATATCAACCACGCCATATTTGCTATATCATGTTTTGGTGAAAGTAAA